CCCTTTTTGCAATAAATAATCCGAGAATGGGAAAAAATTTATACCTACCAAAAATGATCAAACGCTAATTTTTCTCTTTTTATAAAAATCCAGATTTGTTGTTAAATTTAAAAAGAACATTCTAATCTTAGACAAATACCGGTAGTAAACAAACTTGTATTGTGCCTTGTGTGCCAATCCTTGTAATTTTTGTTTTCCTTTTCAATTCTTAAACCAGCTTGAAAATGCTTGGCCATAATTTGCCTAGTTAATTTTTTTCTGGTTACTGTTATATACCGCAATATAAGACTGATCAATATTCACCTCGGCATTGAGCGTATATTTCTCATTTCCTGTGCCATAGATTGTTAACCAAATAATGATTGTCAAATGTTTTCTTAATTGCCTGTTGTTAACAAGGCTTGTTCATGCTACTGTGTGGCTGGATGGCTTTTTGCCATGATATTTTACAGAATACCATATGTACAATGTCAGGCTCCATGCAAAGAGAATAGGCGAGATATACAGGGACCATCTCAACTTGAAACAAAGACCAGTGGTCTGTGTTGCAGTCAAGTCACTTGGGTCGAGTTCAAGTCTCGAGTCACTTGAGTCGGGTCTGAGTCTCGAATTACTTGGGTCAAGTTTGAGCCTGAGTCTTGAGTCATTGGGTCGAGTCCGAGCCTCGAGTCACTTGGGTCGAGTTTGAGCCTGAGTCTTGAGTCATTGGGTCGAGTCCTAGCCTCGAGTCACTTGGGTCGAGTTTGAGCCTGAGTCTTGAGTCATTGGGTCGAGTCCGAGCCTCGAGTCACTTGGGTCGAGTTTGAGCCTGAGTCTTGAGTCATTGGGTCGAGTCCGAGCCTCGAGTCACTTGGGTCGAGTTTGAGCCTGAGTCTTGAGTCATTGGGTCGAGTCCGAGCCTCGAGTCACTTGGGCCGAGTGCGAGTCTCGAGTCACTTTGGTCGAGTCTGAGTCTCGCATTACTTGGGTCGAGTTCGAGTCTCGAGTCACTTGGGTCAGGTCTGAGTCTCGAATTACTTGGTTCGAGCCCAAGTCTCGAGTCACTTGGGTCGAGTCCGAGCCGCGAGTCACTTGGGCCGAGTCTCGAGTCATTTGGGTCGAGTGCGAGCCTCAAGTCACTTGGGTCGAGTCCAAGCCTCGAGTCACTTGGGCCGAGTCCGAGTCTCGAGTCATTTGGTTCTTGTCTGAGTCACGAGTCAGGAGTCATGAGTGCAGTGATATGGCCACGCATACATGTAAGCAATATGTAAGTGATATGTTGTCGTGGAATATAGGGATGGGCACATGAAAAAAATTATTTGCAACACCACTTGAAGAGTAGTGCATTATTACGGTTCATGTGCTTAACGTTCTTTAGGTAATAATTTTGATAAAAAAAATAAGTGACTCGCGAGTCACAAGTCATTGGCTTCAAGTCCGAGTCATGATGGTCGAGTCCGAGTCTTTTGCCGATGTGACTTGAGTCGATTCCAAGTCACAGAAATTGCAACTCGAGACAGACTTCAGTCTGAGTCCTGGACTCGAGTCCTACAACAGTGCTGCTAGTGGTATAAGACAAGATCCCTAATTTCACTTGGTTATCCAACTTCTCAAACCTCATTTCATTCTTTGGTTCTTTTGTCCAAAGTTGTGGGACTGAGGCATTGTACTTTACCTCAGTGACAACTCTAACACCGAGTAAAATTTCAAGAAATATTTTGTTCACTGACACAAGTTTTATACTGCGATTTGCACAAGACACTGTTGTAAAATTCTAGTGGGAAAGTGTTGTGATTCCTATCAATGTACATACCGGTATAGCTTTACACAAGCCTTGAGATAAGCTGACATTTTTATGTATCAAAATTTTATTGCTGTTCATATTTCTCATGTTTTTCTGTGGAAGACAACCTCCTAGGGGAGAGTCAAAAGGACGACATACTTTTAATAAAGTGAATTCTTGATTTCTTGATACTCTTTCAGGTTAAAGCCACTTTTCTACCCAAGGGGAAAATGAACTCGTGTATTCCTTCTTATTTGGATGTGAAAAACAGACTTTTTTTGTTATTGTTAAAACCTGACAATGGCGTAGTAGAGACAGAAACTCAAGGTTAACATTAATGTATTGCCCGGACACATTTTCCCAATTCATGAGTGGTTGTCATAGTAACCTCAGCATCATTTCTGTCCTTGGACCAATCAAACCAACGGTAATGTTTACCCAGACTATAAAACAACAAAGATCCATCTTCAAATTAAGGCCACCCGACCCACACCCCTCAACCCAAACACAGCCCAGGCCAATTATATTTACATGATTCCTTAATTTTGCTATAATAGACCACAAGGAAAGCCCCATCGAATCTGTTTTGTTGCCGCGTGCTGTTCTTCCCTAATTGATGCAGACAATGTGTGTAACCTCCATCAGAGAAGACAGATAAAAAAGCTAAAGATGAGCATTGATTCGTTCCCGTCGTTGGTTTTGACAAGCCCTTTGTTGGTACTCCGCTGTGACCGGTGCCCATCTCTGCCTCATTGATCCCGGACACACGCTCCCCACTCTTGCGTTTCTTATACTTTTGTGAGGGGATAATACAGCGATTTTCCGTCCGTTGAACAGGGTTAATAGGCTATCATAACGGCACGTGTCAACCATGCGATTCACAGCGGGACGTCCACATCCTTGTTGTTTCCTTGTAAACCAGCTTGGCTGTTGTCACGGGGTTGGCTTGTTTAAGCTGGGTAGTGTGTAACTCATGGACTTTCAATGGCAGCAAATCCTTTACTATCTCATTAGAAATACATGTACATGTAAGCTGTAGACTTGCTATAGAAAAACCCAAGAAGTAAAACAGGCTTCAGAATAAAATCACTTTATGCTATAACAGGCTCAACTCAAAAGATGACAAAACAAAATCATTTGTAAAACTTAAGGCTGAATTTCCAAACCCCCCCCCCCTTCAACAAGGAGGCATTAGGATTACAAAATTTAATGAGAAGAGAAAGATCTTTCATCAGCAATGTTAATCAAAATGGAAAACCAGTTGAAGATACAAACACTTTCACTTGTAACTTCCTGATTTTTCAAATAGAAATAATTAAATAATGAAATTGAAGAAAAACAATTTTTAATAACAAATTTGCTCTTTCCATTTTTTGGGTGGTATTAGAAACTTTCATTTAAAAAAAAAAGGTCTCAATATTTGTAAATTGACAAAAATGGTTCTCTATATATTTGTAATTTTAAAGGTTATTTATTCCTAATGGAATTTCTAAACACACTTAAAATGCATAAATGTGATGATAAATGTATGCGCCTGTTTAGAACTATAAAGCCGGAAGGCGTATTGCAATGGTCAAGTTTGATCAGGACTCAAATTCTTTGAGTTGACACGCAGAAAGTGGTATTGATCAGACTTACGTTTACTTACTACATGTAAGCAAAACTGGCTTGAGAACTGACCGTGTGCAATGTGTGTTACCAGACACTGAGGTTAGTAGCCTTATATGCCGAGCAATTCTGTTATCCCTGAACAAATTTGTGATCTTAGTAGCTCTATGGTATTGGCCTCAGTTAAATTAACTTCACAGCACGGTCTAGGGCTGTTCCGAGTATACCGAATAGTCCAACATTCGATCAGCAACGGAATATTCAAATAGCTTTTTCGCCGGTTTGAATATTTGAAATAAAACAAAAAAACACACATAAGTATAAGCACGACTGTGATGTTATTTTAATGTAAAAGTTGTGGCACTTCATTGTCAGGTGCCACTTTTTTGTCAACGGTAACTTTTTTGTCAACGGCTTTTCACTGTTCGCATCCTTTTAGCAGGTTAAAACCTTTTTACAGTTATAAAATACTGACTGCAAAACACAAAACACAGCGCCCCATATCGATCGCCGCACGCATATTTTAACTGGCACACTCTTTGTGCAACTTTTTACTGGCGTAGCACACCCAGTTTCAGCTGGCAGTTTCGAATATCCGAATATTCGGTCCGACGCAGTTTCGAGTAATCGAATACTAAATTATTTGAAGATGGTCAGTTCTAGCACAGTCTACGCCCATCAAATCAATTTAAATGGGGAAGAATTCTAATTATTTTTTTTTATTACCAGTATCGTTACTAATTTTACACGTTTCTGTTCTTGAAAAAACCAAGGATTCCTTGAAAGTGGCTAGACACAGGCCTGGCATTCAGCCACTTGCAAAGGCGCGCGTTTATTGCTGGCGGTAGCCAAGTTATTCAGATGCAGCCAGCCTATCCTATCCTACAAACTATCTTAGAGAGAACACCATGGAAAGATGTTCAGTTCCACTGGTCGGAAGGAAACGCAAACACATCAACAATTCAGTTGAAACCTGGGTTATCTGTTCAGGGATGAAAATTTGCATGAAGGCGAATCCAAGTGAAGCCCATGTTGGATTCGAACCTGGGTCCCCAAGATGGACGGCAGTGAATGTGCCACTCCACCAATCTTCTTCTTCTTCTTCTTCTTCCTTGCAAGAGCTGCCTTCATATGGTTGAAGACGCACTGCCAGAAACACAGGGGCAAACCCTTTCTCTTAGCGATAAGTGTTAATATGCTCCCAGGTTAATAAGTGAAGCATTTACTTTAAGGTTTTTTAAGCATTTAAAGGAAAGAATGAAGTAAAGGTTTTTCTTTTACATACAAATTGGCTGAGGATGGTATTCCTTAAGTAAATTTTTTTGCTTAGTAATAATCACTATGAAATTGTTAAATTTGATTTGAAGTCTTCTTGGAAATTGTAAACATCCCAACTTTTCAAGTAAAAAGTTAAAGATTGAAGATTGCAAATGGCTGATGACTCCCTGTGCTGAGGCAAATGGTGAGTGAATGTCGAAGAAATATCCAACAAATTAGATTGCAAGTCTTGTGTAAGCTGTGTCATTGTCAACTGGTTAGATCAATTAAGTGTTGATGACGGGGGAAAGTGTGGCACAATATCTCACCAGAATTCTTTAATTAGTCCGGTCTGTATTCTACTGGCCTTGATTTAGAGACCCACATTTTGATTTAGTTAATGTGCCCCGCTGATAGAGTGTCCTTCCTCAGGAGCCGAGTGGACGACCAATAAACAGCAAAGGAGTGACTGGTGAGAGCTCATCAATACCAAGCCATCAATCACAATGCATTGGTGCGTCAAGGGGTGGGTTGTATCTGGCCTTCACGTTGGCCCATTGTTGACTTTTAACAATGCATTCATTATTCATGACTTGGGCTGCCGTTGAATATTCATGAGTGGGTGATGCTGCCTTGGAACTTTCTCTGGTGTTTCAGCCAATGGGGAGCTTTCCCTGACTTGTGCTTATTTACATACAGTGAAAGCTATTGGCTGGTGTGGTACCCATGGTTCAGGAGTTGGTCTTGACGGGTTGGACAATATTTCTCGGAGCAGGGGATAGATGGCGTGATGTTTTGATTTTGCCGTGGATCGGATCATTCAGTAGGTTGGGGTTGTTCGTCTACGTAGTCCTGTTCTTTTGATCATCTTTGGGTGGAGTGGATACCGGTCGCTATGAAGTACTCCATGCATCAGCAGTATTACGACGGTAGTTTACCGGGCAGTATTTGCACCATGGCGGAGGAGTATAACAATAGCACAGCGGCTGTTGGATACTGCATCAGTGGGCAAGGGGTTGAGGCTTGTGTTCCCCATGGCGGCATGTTCATCCATGGTAAGAATTGTTTCGTTAGGTTCAGTGATGAGAAGAAAACAAGCTGGACTCCACTCCTCAATCAAAACTAGGCATTCTAGATATGTATGGCTTGAACTAGCCTCAGGATTTCTGGTCTCAAACCAGTGATTTAAGTTCCAGTCTCTTTCTGTAACTGTGCTAGACCAGTTATCTATTGGTATTTTTGGCTACTGATCAAATCCAGATTTGTCCATGATGATTGACATTTGTTCATCTCCATGAAGTAATGTTATCTTCATTTCAATTTTGTTTTACTATTTATCTTTTATATCAGTAAAAGAGAATGTTCTTGTAATTATTTTAGAAACTTGTTGAATAAAACCTATTTCAAATGTCATGGTTTTTGCACTGGTATCAAACTACTTCTGTTGGTCCAGTAACAGTTTTCAGCTAAAGTCTGGCAATGTTTTACCCAGAAAATTTAGCCCGGAGACTAACTCTGTTCCCCCCCCCCACCCAATGTCTTGATATATCCAATAAGTCTTGTGACAAAAGAAGTCTAGATTTGTTGAAATTTAAGAGCTCTCCTTTTTACTGGTAGGATGTTACCTTTTTAAATGTATCTTCATTTGCCTACAGTCATATACCATAATATTTGTAAGTAATGTAGTTGTTTGCTTGTTTTGTATGAAACAAGTTGACAAAAATTCAAGATGGATTGATTTATCTTCTAATGATCAATAATCACTACCGGTACAGGTCTGTTGGGAAAATGAACAGATTTTTTTTTATTAAAGGCACATAGGATCATTTGCATTGATCCTATAAGTCCACTTCTGAATTATTATCACAAAACTTACTTGGATTAAAGATCATACTGGTAGTGAACACAACGTGAAATTATTCCGTCTTGATCGCTGTCATTTAGAAGAAATCATGAAGTACATGTAGGTGATTTCCAGCGGTCAGTCAGTTGACTGATTTTTGGAATTGAGAGTGCTATCAACAAAATCGTGTTTTGTGATCAAAAGGTTGTGCATGGTTTCCTCAAAAAGTGTAATATCCACTGAGCTGAAACTTCAACAAGTTTGATATTTTTTTACATTCTTCTTTGAATTTTGAGTGGTGTTATTATTGGAACATAACAAAATGCATGAAAAGCAAAGTATTCTCTAGGCCTTTAAATGCATACCGGTATTCAGGCGTTCTGGTAAAACTTTTTGGGGGGGGCCCATCAGCCTCCTGGGCTACTAGCCCTGTGGTCAAGCAGATTTTTTATTCTTAGTATTCAGGTTGCTTTTTGAAAACCTTTTAATGTGGTCAAATAACGTGCAAAAGATCCTGATTGTTTCCTATCAGTATGACCTCGCAGATGACATGGGCTGTAGCATGCATGCTGATTTCATGAAGAACCGGTTGTATTCAAGTAATGACCCAAAAAAACCACATCAAGGTACTGGCCTCCTCTATCCCAGGTGAAAAGTCCAGTTGAAACTAGTCGAACTGGAAATAGGTGACTAGTTGTGAACTGGTTTAACTGGTTTGAACTGCTTTAACTGGTTCAAAAACTAGTACACCAGTTCATAACCAGTTAAACTAGATCAAAACCAGTCACCAATTTCCAGTTCAACTGGTACCAGTTGAACTGGTTTTAACTGGAATGGGATCCCATTTTCATTATGTTTTGTCATCTTCTTGTACTCTGGGTTTTTGTTATCTCCTCTTAGATGGCATGATGACCCCCGCGCTATCCCCCAGCCGCAAGATTCTCTGCCAGGTTTGTGGAGCCTTGTCTTCAGGTCTTCACTTTGGTGTCTTCACTTGCGAAGGATGCAAGGTAGGTCCAAGTCTGGCTTATGCAACAAAGGTTTTTTTCTTCATGTTTTAGACCCCAAGTATACTCTTTAATAACTAAATTTTCATACCCTGTGTTCTTTACAAAATTACATTTTTCTCCTAACAAATTTTAATTTGAATGTTTCGTTTTAGCAAAAAAATTACTTTATTCCAATTTTGGGCGTCTGTAACCGTCTGAAAAAGGGCTTTTCATTTTGTGCTCATATGAACCTGCCCTTCGAGAGCCAAATTATTGTCTGGCAGCCAATAACTCCAATCTTGGGAAGAAATAATTCAACAACTAAACATCGGTGGAGTTTTTTTTTATTCGATGTCGCATTCAATAGTGAATAACTTTTACATTGCTCGGAAAATGAAAAAACAAATCAATTTTTGAAAATTGAAGGAAAAAATCAAAAAGAGTCAAAAAGAGCTCGGGGAACACATCTTTAATAAATCGTCCTGTTTGGTAACATTTTTGTTAAATTGAGCAGCTGATTTACATGTATATTTTTGCATCAAGTGGTAGTCCTATATATTGAAAAGGCCGGCAACTGAAGTTTCAATAATTCACAGACCTTTTCGGAGCGTTGATGTTGACATTATTTTCACCAAATCCATTCATCTTTGTGTTTGTCCTACTTCCTTGTGAAGGAGTTTTGTGCATGGATTTTTTTTTTAGGTGATTGGCTTCAGAATTCAGAACATTTCTGGCGTGGTTTCTTTTACCCGCTGGATCACCCAGTGGTTTTCGTTGACTGAAATAATGTAACTGAGTAACAGACGCAATGATTGATTAAATCAAACAATCATATGAACATTATGGTTCTATATTATTACCAGTTACTTTGTAAGAAAAGAGACAATAAGGCAGGCCTACCAACATTATTTTATTTTTGGTGATTTTATTTATGTCTCTTTTTGAATGTTTTGTTAGCTAATGCATGATTTTTGTTGTTGTTTTTGTTACATTATTTTGAAAGAGGGACAGTTTTGAAAATGAAGTCCCTAAATCTTCTTGTACGACCACACCATGAAGTTAGAATCAACAGTATTAAGGGGAAAAAAATAAAGTAGAACATCGCCCAGAAGTTAGAATCAACATTAACAGGGAAAAATGGAGAAAAACATATTTAATCTGGGCTAAATCCTAGCTGGATTAATGGCTTGTGCCAATTATTTATTGTATCTTTTTTGTATACATGCCTGTATTGGCACTTTTTTTAATAGGGGGTCCCTTTTTATGTCTTTGGTTCCCAATTTGTTTTTGCATCTAAAGTTGTGTCGGTTGGTCGACAAAAAATTAAAATCTGAAGGAAACAAAATTGTAGTTGCACCTGTCTAGATGGCCAAATTAAACTAGTTTAGTGGTATCTCAGGGCATTTTTGATTGGTGACTATGCAGTCTACATTTAGCTTATAAATAAATTTTTGATCAAAAAAGTCACAGAATTGCACCTCCAGAAAAAATCCTGGAGACGCCCATGGACTTTGTGATTGACTTATGATTGACTCTGTATTTTAACAATCCTACTTTAAGGTAGAGTAGACCATTTGCAGCTATCCAAAAAGTAACTGACCAAATATTGTTGAAAAGCATACTTGGTTTAAAGATAGTAAGGGGACTAAACTCCCTGTGAAATTATTCCATCTGGCATGCTGTCATTTTGAAGAAAACAATGAAAGGAGGTCATTTCCAAAGATGAGTCAAGTTATGCAATTTTCGGATATTTCCATTAGTAGTTGGTTTGTAATTGAGCGAATCCGTGAATCAATGTGCGCGAGTGTTGACATGACGCACACGTGCGCACAGTTGCTATTATTCGTCGGTTCAGTGCTTGATATCGCGTACCTGCAATCAGCTGAATGAGAATAGATTTCGGGCGCAATTCAAAATCTAACGCCAACTTTTGAATTGAAATCAAGATTCTAGAATACTGTTTTCTCAGAATATACAGCATTTACAAAGCTAAAACTTCATCAGGTTAGTTGTGAAGCACCCATCTTTAGATTTTGAGCACTTTTGTTGCTTCTAACAAAGCAAAGGCACAAATGACAAATGATCTACTCTACCTCTAAGTGACATACAGCACATCTAAAACCATGAGTTGTTTTCTTTCTGTCAGTGCTTCTACCGACGGAGCATCAAAGAGGGCGCCAATTACGCCTGTGCTAAAGATCGTAACTGTGACATCACCATGGAAACGCGCAACTCTTGTCGCTTCTGTCGTTTCCAGAAGTGCCTGGCATTGGGCATGTCCAAGGAAGGTGGGCACATTTCAGAAAAGTTATTTCAAACTAGTCATTCAAAGTTCATGTCACATGGAAGCAAGCATTACACCCCCCCCTATAAAAAGTGATGAAAACAGGAAAAAAGGGTAACTTTTCCCTTAAATTGTCTTTATGCTGATAATACTTCCACGAAAAAATATTGCCCTTTTAGTGAGTTTTCTTTAAGGAAATAAAGATTGTATGATAATAACTTTGTTGGTGGCTGACAACTAAAAGGGTATCAGTATACTACTTGTGAAGAAGTGTGCAAGAAATTATGTAGGCAACCACATTTATAGACTGGACTTTCAATATAATATAGCATATCATACGCAGAATATTGATTTGGTGTGCATTGGACATTTTTTGTGTATATGATAGACGAGAATTTCTGGTTTTCTTTTTTTTCTTCTCATGTACTTATCATTTACAGGCACTGCACTAGCACTGCTACTTTATTTTGGTGTGGAAATTTAATGTTAGAAAGGGCAGGGTTTTCTAATTATGCCTCCCTGACCCAGAATTCAACTTAAATTGCTACGCTTTTAAATAGAAATTTGGAAAAGTTGGAGACAGCCAACTTTAAATAAAAGGCAAACAAAATAGTTCTTATTTCATTTTTCACTTTAATGAAAAATGACTGTAATTTTGTTTGTCACTGCAATTGCAGGAATCAAATTAGGACGCCGTCCGAAAGTGGACAGTGATGTTTTTCAGCAGGGATTTTATCACGCGGGAGATATGGAAATGCTGCACAGCCACGGTCAACAGACCTACTCCTGGCCTGGCACTGATCACTTGGGAACTCACTATCCTACCTCCTTCAAATCAGAACCGGCATTTATAGACCTTGAAGGAAGGGGCAAGGACGGATACGACGAACAGCCTGTCATGAATTACTCCATGAAACGTGAGGCCTATGTGGCGTGTGACCAGCACAATGGCTTGCATTATCCCCACCAGGGGAGCTACTTAATGCCCGGCCAGCAGCCGAGTGTGAATGCGGTGCCCACCAGCCCCGCGAGTCGGGACCATTATGAACAGGTTTACGGCTCCCCTATGGAGGCTGGCATTCACCCGCGACAGCAGGTGTACCTCCCTCCTGACGGTCCCTCGCACCCACACCACACCGCCCCCATGTCTAACCCGGTACCCATTATGCACGCCCCGACGCCCCACCCACCCTCCACCCAGTCCCGGATGGAGCACGACGGCTCACGTAGCTGGACAGCAGGGTTGAGCCCCACCAGCAGCATGTCATCAGGCAGTGAGGAAGCCTGGGAAGGGACGGTTTTCCAGGGCAGTCATCCCTCCTCTGTCACCCTCACGCTACCTGAGGTGCACAGCGGGGCGGTGGCAGCCATGGCCTACGCTAACCTCTACCGAGGGAAAAACGAGAGCCCTTCCTCAACCTCCTCGTCAATATCCACACCAGAGCGTTCCAAGGACGACGAAAATCCAGCCCCAAAGAGACCAACTGAAGCTACTTTTCACTCTGAAGCAGAGCGGGGCTCCCGCAGCTACACAGAACTGGTGCCCAGGAAAAACAACCAGAAAACAGACTCTGTGATGCAGCCCGTTGTGGAAAGACACGAAGGGTACATTGACAAACTGCAAGCCATGCAGAGCTCCATCGCTCTGTCACCCAAGCCGGCATCACCGGCAAGCGGCAATAATAACAATGAGGTTTGGGTCAGGCACCCCGACAGCAGACAGCCGTCAGGGATGGTTGTAGGAGGTTCAGGCGGGCTGTTGGATCTCTCTCATCATAGTGCAAACCTGAAGATGAAACAGGAAGAAAACCAAGACAGAGAATCACAGGGAGATCTCCTCCACAGCATCATGACTCATTTCTTGCAGCTTAAGATGGACGTGGTTACGCAGTGGAAAGTTTACCACAGCAAGGTAAGGAAAGGAAAAATGATTTGTGCACAGATTTTTGGCTCAATTTTTGCACTAATTTAAATTATTGGGACCCATTTTATCAAAACAGAATGAAAAAAATGACTATTTGTTACTAAATGCGTAGATTGGTCGGTTGACATAATTTTTCGTTTCATCTAGGGATCATTGGCTTGTGGGGTTTTCAGTCAGCCAGTTTGCTTGTTTTAATGTTTGGTTAGTGGGCTGGGATCAATTGATTGAATGAAACTGATTGACATATTTTAATGTTAATCGATCAATCAATCGACTGATTATAGAATTGATTATTTATTTATTCATCTCAATTTATTCATGTTTTTTTTTTAAATTAAATTGTGTCAAGGTGTCAAGTGATGAAGCGACTGACATCAGCTGGAAGGAGGTAGAAAGTTTTGTAAATTCCTCTTATGAAATTACTGAATGCATCAGAAGTTACGTTTGCAAGGTCCTGGGTAAGTAGGAAATGTCGCAGTTAATTCACTGAATCTTGAGTGTATCTTTGCCACAAATGCCTGCAGTAGAATTATTTGGGCTAATTTCTTGCCATTAATCGTTAAACTTATTAGGATTAATAGCTTACTAATTACTGCTTTTAACATCTTGAAAGTGTCATAGGAAATTGTTTTGGTAATTTTCAGGTTCAATTTTCAGAAAGGTTTGACTTTTGCATCTTAGAAATCATTAACATATGATTAAATAATGATGAATTAAGATTTAAAAAAGGGAATGATAGTCACGTTTCATGAAAAAATGATAATAATGTATATTTACATAGTACCAATATCCACCAACGTGAGTACTGAAGACACTATGTCAGTATAAGTTTTTGGAATATGTAAGATGTGTATCCGCGAATTGAACTCTTTGCAATCTTTACTCACAGGTTTGGCACAGCAGAACTGCAGCTCTGGGGTGGAGTTGGTCTGGTCCTCTCTGGCCGTCGTGGTCAAGACTTGTCTGCTGCTGGACCTTCCGACCGGTGATCAGATGAGGAAGGCTGGAGGTGGGCGGGACCCCCCTCAACTCCAGAAGGAGGAGGCGGCCTGCATCAGCATTCTAGCTTTGTTCTCCTCAAGTAAGCACAGCTTTCATTTCCAAGATATTTTTTGGGGGGCAAGATTTTGCAAGGAGCAAGCAGTGTCGGTGCAGTAATCTTGTTCAATCCACTTTACTCCTGTGTGTATGGTAATCTGGTAAGCTATGTGGACGCCATGTCATGATAGTAGATGACAAGTATGGGAAAGCATGCTGGAATGACAAATTTTATTCTGAAACCTGTGGCCTAGTGGTTAGGGTTTGTGACTCTTGATCAGAGGGTCCGGGGTTCAAATCCAGCTGCTGGTCATATGTGTGTCCTTGGGCAAGCCACAGTGACCCCACTTGCCCCTCTCCAACCAGTATAAATGGGTACCGGCATTAGCTGGGGAGTATAACCTGTGATGGACAGAGATCCCATCCAGGGGGATAGAAATATCCGCGGTCAGTTCATGCCTAGGAAACCAGAGATAAACGCCGGCCTGATGATCTGTATTGGCTCATGACAGACTTTACTACTACTTACTCACCAACCTGTACTGTAGTGTCTTAAGCCAGCCTCAGGTCGACCCGCGATTCGCTTGCGCCACGACGGAACTGTCGGCATCAAGCAGAAAAAGTGATGCTCAGGTCACAACACTGAGAAATTGTGTGATTCGGGTGGAACAAGCGGCATTCCGACGCAAAATAATCGCAACAATGCTCATGTCACCTCGACGCGCGATCCACCATGATTAAACAGCATGGGCAGTCATATGACTTCTTTAACAATAAGGGAATAATTATGTGCTTGGCCGGTTCGGCTCGAGCCATTATCAGTGCGCATTCCCCTGATATGGTCTTAAATGTACTTGTATTCCCATTCACAAATACCTTCGAATCAAAAAGTCGACACAATTCAAAAATTGTACATTTCCAACAATTTTGTTGAACAGTTTTACTTCATTTTTTAAACACCCCTCTATCTGTGATATGGAATATCCTCTCGCGAGTAGTAGTAAACAATCTCCTTATATGATGATTGACGCGCGCGTGGTGCGTACTGCGTGATTTTGCGCAGAACGTGGAGCGCCGGGGAAGTGTGCTGATTGGCTACACAATGAAAAAGGATGATCTTGATGCACGCAGGACGCGTCGTCGTAGAAGTTGAAATGTTTCTACTCTTGCGACTGTTGATTTTTTTTAGCGCCGACTTATTCCAATCGTCTTAATATCATCGCAGTTACAGTCAGGTCGCAAAAAATCGGCGACTGAAATGTCCCCGATGATCGTAGCTCAGAGGCGGCTTGATCATGAAAAGTCAGTCGCCGACTGATCTGTGTCGTCACAAGGTCGACCTGAGGCCGGCTTTAGCAAGAGTGTCAGGCACTGTCAACTATTTCAGAGTTCCCCTCAACTATTTTTTTTGTAACTGTTGTATGAGGTGGTGCTTTGGACAGAGATAATTGGCCCTAAATGGTACCCACTGGAAAAAATATGCCAACACACATTGCCCAATGTTAATTGTCAAATTGTACGTGTTAACACTGGAGTTGTTTTAGTATTTCCAGAATAGTAGCTACCTTTTTTTAAGCCGACAGTTCAATTCCAAAACTGGCCCTGAAACATGCAGTAGCTGTTGCCTCACATCAGGTAAATGAGAGACATGATTCTTTTTCCATTTCTTTATGAAAATACAGTGGCCGCTACAGGCAGCGATGATGCATCTTTGGCCGATGCATGTCAGTGGATATGTTGTATTGCACAGGACTACCTCAAAGGTATGAGTGCTATCAATAGCAAACACGCTGACATTTTCATTTACAATGTAATACTTGAGTCTGAAATGAAGGAATTCAGGAGCAAATCCCATAGTCAAGAGTGTCCTGACATACCTAAAACAAGTTTTAATAGTGTTTAAAAAAATAATTGAAGACATGTTAATATCACTTTGAGGTATCATATCGTTTGTCCACCCAAAATGTGTAGCCTACATTTATTCCAAACTCAGTGGTCAGAAATTGCCTCAGATCGCACAACAAATTAAAGCGTCTAGAATCCAACATTTTTCCAGGCCCTTATGCAGCCCCTAATCCCAACACCGATAATTGGTTTTGCGTTTCGCACTCGCATTAGTCCTGATCACAGCATGCCCCCCCTCCCCACTTTTGAGAAGCGATTGACGCCCTTGAGGCCCATTCTAATGTCCTAAATCTGAATTGCTTATAATCATCATTAGGGATGGAGGATGGTGGGTGGATTTTGAGGGTCAAACCCTAATTTCTTTCCCAAAATTCCTTGATCCATTCTTGGAAATCATCCTAAAAGTTAACATAAGTTCTTTAATTTCCCTGATGGGTTTTCTTAAAGTCATCACATAGCAAAGTGCTTTTTGCTCTATTTTTTTCCTCTCTGCAAGTAATATTTCAGCAATCTTAAAGACGTTTGTCAGATGGAGATTAAAAAACATAACAGTTACACAAGACAAAATGGCAAAGTATATATTTTTTTTGCAGTCAAATCTTACAAGCTTTATACAGAGGATGATCACAGACAAAAATGTCGTCACTAAATGATGTAACATGTGTGGCATACAACAAGAAATACAATACCAATTGGGCATTCAAAGTTGCCAAGTTTTCCACAAAAGAGAAATACATGTACTAGGGTTTTTTTTCGTTAGGTTTTTTCCCTACTTCTTTCATTAATGAACACACAAAAATCCAAATAGCAAAGGACAACCAGTTCAATTTGATTGGTATATGTTTGATATTTCTTTCTCTCTTTCTTCCTGTCTTCAGAGAAGTGTGAGACAGAGGAGAGATTTCAACAAGTCATCCAGCTTCTACAGGGAGATTCAACTGCAACACTTATCTCCTCACCAACCTGAAGAAAATACACTCCTTATTCATTCCATCTGGTCCCTAATAGGTCAAAATAAGCAAAGTTGGGAGCTTTGAATTGATATATTTAGACTTGTTTTAGCGGTGTGATTTGGACAAACTTGTTAAGCAAATTTCAATCCAAAACAGAAGTATTCTGTCTCCAACTACCTCTCTCGCCCTCCTCCCTGTCATATCTGAAATGTTTCTGAAATCAAGGCCCTTTTCTCAGCCGGAGAAACGCACTTACTTTAATTCCTGCTTATCACTATATGATATTCAGGGGATCATGCAAACCAGCCAAAAACATCAACTAAAAGACAGACACGTGTGGAAGGCTGGATTCCTGAATTGACATTTATTCAAAGCAGTCTTTGAAGAGTTTGTTTCCTAACGCGACTTCCAGTTGGAAACAGTCAAAAGAGTCACACAGTTAGGAGACTTTATAGAACAAACACAGTCTAAAAGCTGTTTCCCAACTTCATTTTTGCGTTATTGTATTCTTAAATGGAAGAAAATGGAAGAGGTAAACAGGAAAAAAATTGCCTGGCAAATTCTTGTGCTATCAGATGAGAAGATGTATACATTTGCAGAACATTTTGGCTGACGACCAGGGAACAATTTTGCTGCTAAGGTGGAAATATTGCTAAGAAAACACATGAGCAAGCATCAAAATGAACGAGAACCAGTTTTGGCTGGACATGGTTTGTTTTTTCTCACCAGATATTTTCTCTGCCTTAGCAGATCTGTTTGTTTGGAAGTTCCATGAAAATTGCCCCCATTTTGTTATTCTGCTTTTAGCGCTGTTTCCAGAACTTAGCCCCTGGTGAAACAGAAGTTACTGTTAGACACTGTCGGCATCCACAAACGAAGTACGCTGATATGTGTAAACATGCAGGAGGTCGTGTACAAATTTCAGTTTTGGCTTCGCACCTCAAGAGTTCCCAATTCCAAATAATGAAAGGCGGATGTAATTATTCAATTGGAAGAAACTTTGAACGAAAAGACAGAAATTCATACGTACTGATCCTCAATGGCTTCAACACGTAGTTCCAGTGTCACTTTCTCATATCATTTATTAGAAAAATGCATAAAGTGATAGTGTTACACGTTAGGGATACGCAATACGGGAGCAAATTTCAAACCTGCTGAAACTCTTTAATAATTCTTCTTTTAAGCTTGCTTTGTTGCATCATGCAGTTTTTGCTTTGTTGCATCAGGCAACAACATCCAACAGATGAGCAGCACTAGTAAATGGCCAACAAACACAATTACAATAGGTTAGGTTGGTAAATATTATTGAAAAGAAAATATTAAAAGTTTTTATTTCCAAGACATTCCTCTCAAAAGCACACTTTTCCTTTTTATTATAGTTCATTTATACATTGGAAGAATATTATGTAAAGCATTAGCAGCTGTAACATTTTTAAACAGTGACAACTTTTTTTTTGTATACTCCACTAAAATTTGAAAAAAAAATATTTTACCAGCTGGTTAATGTTAATGTTCATTTTAGTTTCAAACAGAAATATTGGATGTTGAAATTTATTTGGAGATATTCTCAAATGATTGAAATACATTTGTGGTTGCTTTGATCATTTTACCAGTTTTAATAACTTATACATGTATCTTATGGAACTGCAATTTATCTGTACATAATTTCGCACGATATTTGTGTTGATACATACATGTATTCTAAAATCCTGAAGATCCTCTTTTCGTTGACATCCTTGCATATTACTGTTACAATATAGAAGCTTATATTGCCTTTTTAATTGGACAACATGTGATTTGTTCACCAAATACATGTATTGAAAACTCTCAATATGATCTGTATAAACTCTACCAAATTCCTGGCGGATCGCCTTGCTACATGTTCCACATGTCTGTGAAACCTGCTCTGAAGTATTCACTTCAATTTTTATTCTGTGCCATTCTAGCCATGAAATGGCAACGGTACCGGTATAAACGCCTTGTTTAGTAACTATATGATGATAAAAATACACTCCACTTGAGAGAAAAAAGGGGAAAAAATGCCCCTCAAATGGATTGTTATCAATGCAGACGTTGTGACACTTTATTTGCTATCCTCTACAATTCAATTCCCATAGCCAGAGAATTTTTCTCTTTCTCAATGTATTTCTGGACCAAGATGTGACAAACCACCAATATACCCAAACCTCTTGCACGGCAAAAGAAAAGGGCCACTTCCCAGCACAAAAAGGCTTTGCTAGATGTAATTGATTATTGAATTGAGCGTGTTTTCTTATTGCCAACTGGCCGTGCCTGTGTTAAAAGCTTTCTCAAACTCCCGAACAATAAACACATGTTTACAGTCTTTCCCCCTCAGTCGCAGGATATACGTGTAGAGCAGACCACTCACACCCAGCTTTTTCAATTCAATGGCACTTTGCGGTTTTTTTCCCCTTCTTTTTTTCAATTTTTTGATTGAAAGCTTTGATTTGATTATTTTGTCGCTGAAATCGTCTGTTGACAGTAGAGAGAAAATCCTGGTAGAAGAAATATACTGGCCAAATAAATGGGGAAAATAAATTTCGCTGAGACTTGCCGGTCTTATGAAATGGGTTCTATGGAATAGATTGTCAAGGAAAATAGATTTAGTTTGGGAAGAAGGAAGCGTACATGTAGCTTTTTATAAGTCGCAATCAGTGAAAACGAAGAAAAAAACTGGGAATACATGTAATTATGTGAAATCCTTGCCAGGCAAAGAGGGTTCCTTTGCTTCAAATAGTTAATGATTATCCTATCAAAAACAAAAGATAAAAAGTATTCATTTTTTTTAATTACAACATATATTTTAATAGACTTTCCAAATAATAAACATATAATTATGATAATAATATTTTAAGAAGATCATGGTATTTAATTATAAAACGCTGCAATTTTGAATTATCTCATGTTCATATTTGTATATTTATTCCTGATGTGAAATAGGTGTTGCACCAGATACACCAGTAGAAATGATTGTAAAAAAGTACTGGTTTTATACATAATATATGTATATATATGGATATGAACACCATGTATATTTTATTTGTACTTGGGTATTTTATCTGTATGTGTAGGTCTAAATGTATGTATTTTTTTAAGATAAAGTTAGTGTATACGTGCTTTTTGGGTGTGGCACCTCGAAAAATAGGTTTTTTTCCAAATTGAATTGATAATTTTCTAGCATTACATTAGTTATGAGCTTTCCAATGAGACATCGCGCGAAAAAAAATCGGCCCATGACAAGTAATCAATTAATTAATTTCAACTTTTGAATTAAAAACGGGACGCTCCTAAATCGTTATGAGTAATGCGCGCAATTTCTGAACTGGACCGCGCCATTTAAAACCACTTTTTAAAACTGTATAAAGGCCTGCAAAAAAACAACAATCAAATTTACTTGTTGCAGGACATTATATTCCTTTAAATTTCGTTCGGAAAAGAAAATCAAAATTTTGAAAAGCACGTATACCAACTTTAACATCAGACTTGAGGGAAGTGGCCAATTATTTTGAGCCCCTACATACGCAGATTTGCTGAGCTGAAATGGCCTTCACTCAGAAAATATTCATTCATTCATAAATATATTCCCATATTGTTGACAAATACATTATATAAAATAAGTCGATAAGGAAATAACATGAAATGAGTAACTGAATAAGGAACTGAAATATTATTATAATTCACAATATGAAATAATGGAGGAACGAAGTATGAACTATAGTAAAATTAATCAACAAGTAATGTAAATAATCCATTGATCAGAAAATTATATCACTTGTCTGATTGGCAGATGAATTTCACAGGAATATATGCTGCTTAGCACCATTTTAAAATATTTTTTTGCCAATTTTGATGTTGGGTTTGCTCTTCACTGTCACACTGCTGTTCCAAGATTTATGAAAAACAATGCACAAGCTTGTTTAGATGGGACTTGGGACCACAACTCCCTGCTTACTATAGTTCAGATGTCTTAAAGGGGCCTTGCAATGAATTTTTCTGAAGAACATATTCTGTGCAACTTTCTCCTCTTCAATGTATAAAAACTATATGATATCCCTGTTTTGGTAAATTTTCTTGGAAAGTGCACTTCTTTAATTAAACAGTCAAAATAATTGTCCATGCTTTTTCTGGACAACTGAGGGCGCCGTTGTTGTGATGTCATTTCAGGAAGACACTGTTCAATTTAGGGGTTTGTGTTCAAATTTGTGAACTCAAAAATTGCTCATTGAAAACATTTGTAAGCAGAATTTGCTTATTGTCTTAGTACCATGTACTGACACAACAACGAATCGCCAAAGAAAAGAAAATTTGAAACTGCAAAATATAAAAAACATCGGGCATCTTGTGATGCTGAAATAACTGTAACATTGAGGTTTCTGCCTGAAATGACATCACACTTTTACTCATGAATATGGAAATTCGCATTAGCATCAAACCAAAAAGGCACCAAAATACCCTTGAAAATGAAAAAAAAACCGAAAACGGTAAATAAGGTTAAATGGGACACAAAGGTGCATTTTCAAGGATTGCATTTAAAACATTACATTGCATGGGCCCTTTAACCACTTGACCACTGAGCCACTTGACCACTGCGATGTTCGGCTGGTCGTCTGTGAAGGGCAAAATCAATATTGTAATTTGTATATCGATCCCCCAACACAAAATTCCATCATAAAAAAAATATTTCTGTCGCATTTTGCCATGTACATACTAATTTTAGTTGAATGGGAATTACTTCTGCATTAACACTGGCAGTTTTCCATTATTGGCACCTATTGTAACCAGCAAAAAGTTGTAAGACGGCTCTGTATTCACTCATATCAATTGTAACACTCCCTGTTAATATGAGGGGATTTTGAACAGAAAAAAAAATGCATAGTGGTGTAATAGAAAACATAAATCAGCCACAAAAAAATGTATTTAATTGTCAGCGGCAATGAATCGCATAGTTACTGATTAGCCCATTTTCACCAAGCAGACAATATTCTATGACACAGTTCTGACGCAGAGCCTACAGTTGTATCAACTCAATTATTTTAAAACCTTTAGGCATCCCAGCTTTCATTCATGAAATTATGGACCTGAGCCACATTGCCACAATCACTTCTGTTATATTGTCACAAAGTAAAGCCACACCATCTCACAGCAGCTAAATTTAAGTCTTATAAATAGAAATTAGTATATATTCCTTAAACTTTTTAGTTCAACTCTGTTTATTGTTAATGTTGATAAATTTGTGACATAGTTATGAATAAATCATATTTTGAGCCTTCAGTGGACATTGTGTTTGTCGTTGGATTTAGTTGGAAAGTGATACAACAGTTCAGCGAAGCAGAGTTATATGTTGCGTTGCAAAAGATCCGGTACGTTTGTATGACTGTCAAATAGACACCCCCCCCCCCCCAAAAAAAAAATCAGGATAAGGCCCCAAAAAAATTATTCGGTCTCTGGTCAGACCAAAGTTCCAGAATTGACGCGGCGACGCGTTTTTTTTTTTTTTTTGGCTTTTTTTTTTTGTTCTTCAAGCTTGGATTGTACAGACAAGGTGGGGTACTATTTTGCTTTTTTGGTGTCCTCATGTACATTGTTGTCCTCCATAATTTGCCTTGGTGCTTTCGATCATTTGCCTTGGTGCAATTTCCCATTCCTTCGTGCTCTTTGGTAAAAAAAAATTGAGGAGGTGCGGAAATAGAGGGCGCTGTTGGAGCTACCGCGGAACATTTTGAAAAAAAAAAGATCGACGCGCATGATTAAAATCGACGCGCGCGCTGACCAGAGACCGACTTATTTTTTTTGTGGCCTAATCGGTACTCATTATTGTCCTCTATTTCGGCTCAAAAAACAATGCTCCAAAATGGCAAGTAGATTTGGGCTCTCCCTTGCTTTGCTACACCCTCCAAAACACTTCAATATTTGCAAATGTTGCTTGTTAAGTCAATGGCCTGTAAGAGACCAAGAGTTTTCGCTAATAATCCCAGAATGTTTCATTGATTGTATCCGAGATGACATTTGACCATTTTGACCACTGACCTAAAAACGCATAATTGGTTGAATGTTTCCGGTGGATTAATTGTGAGTAAAGGGATGTCTATATTTTCCTTTAGACAAACCTCGCCCTCTCCCCAAATAGAAAACATATCTGATGTAAGTTTGCCATTATTGATCTCAATTTAAATCCAGAAAAGATTTTTGGTTTGAATTCAGAACAAGAAAACACATAGGAAATTTTTCCTCGTTCGTAACAGTCAAATAAAACACCCCCACGGACCGAATGGTTGAACCACAACAAGGGACCTGAAAAATAAACGCGATTTGTTGTTGTGGGTGGATTATAAACCGTAGCTCAAACCGTCCATAGTTGATTTTTCCTGAAATATCCAAACTGTATTTCTCATGGCTGGTGAAAGTGATGTAACTCGTCCTTGGACGGATGAAGAGATTGCCTCCGATGACATTGGCAAGAAAGCTATAGCAACATTCCTGCAAGAACATGCAGCGAAAAGGGTACGTTAAACATCTGGTTTTGTTAAATGCGTGTTTTTACCTTTACCAGTTGCGGTATTAAAATATGTTGGGTTTTTTGGGGTGCGGGTGAGATTTTATCCATGTGTTACACTTTTATATTTGTTACAATTTCGAAACTTACGGAATGTATTTTAATTAAAAATTAGGGTTTTCAGCATTGGGAATCTTCGTGTTTTACTAGAGTCATTAGCCCGAATAGCTCTGCCTCCGGCCGCACACTAGCCCCATAAATGTGGCCTATTTACTGGACTGCCTCCGTAAACATAGGCCACACATCCACATGTACAAAAATCGTGTCGACGGAGCCAAATTTTGATTTTCACATTTAGGCTTAGTTTGTAGGTTTTTTTTGCTTTAGAAGCATACTCGCCCTCTTTATAGGCTAATCAGAAAGTGCTGCCTTTTTCAGATGTATATTTTTTGTGAAATTTCCAGATTCATTTTTACACGTTTGCGTATCAAAATTTCAACATGAAATTTCACAAAAAATATACATCTGAAAAAGGCAGCACTTTCTGATTAGCCTATAAAGAGGTAGCCCCACTAGTGTGGCCGTCGGTATGCTGCGCTGAACCTTTGGCCACACACCGTGGTACCGCGCGCTACTGAGGACGAAGTTTTCATAAAAATTCAGGGCAGTTTCTTACATTCTCAGTTTCTTACTTTCTTATGGTTGTATTCTATGATGTCTCACCTGTCACTTCTGGGATGCTTAGGTCTAATGATGTTCCATTTTCCGAGATATTCTTCAATCTTTCTGGAGTCCATATGCACTCGTGAAACGTCTGGTGATGGCAGCCATTTTGAATGGGACAAGAGATGACCTCAAGCTGTGACGTCGCGTGTATGCAAATTGCTTGTCGAGCGCGCGAGGGCGCGAGTTGCAAATGCGACGGCTGTTTTCTGTGCCGTAGATCCTGAATAGAGATCCGTGCACGTGGCCCCCTGACGATAAATGCATGGTACATGGTGCATATGGACTCCAGAAAGATTGAAGAATATCTCGGAAAATGGAACATCATTAGACCTAAGCATCCCAGAAGTGACAGGTGAGACATCATAGAATACAACCATAAGAAAGTAAGAAACTGAGAATGTAAGAAACTGCCCTGAATTTTTATGAAAACTTCGTCCTCAGTAGCGCGCAGTGCCACGGTGTGTGGCCAAAGGTTCAGCGCAGCATACCGACGGCCACACTAGTGGGGCTAATAAAGAGGGTGAGTATGCTTCTAAAGCAAAAAACCTACAAACTAAGCCTAAATGTGAAAATCAAAATTTGGCTCCGTCGACACGATTTTTGTACATGTGGATGTGTGGCCTATGTTTACGGAGGCAGTCCAGTAAATAGGCCACATTTATGGGGCTAGCCGCACACTAGCTTGCCCCACTAGGCCGCGATTAGCCCAGGTTGGACTCCGTTGTGTACACGCAACGGAGTCCAGGGTATGAATCTCTCCTGCCATAGCGAAAAAAATTAGGCCTATAACACATTTTTTGCATATTTTTACCTGAAGGAGGAAGCTGAAATTTCGCTTACATATTCCAGAATTGTACCTGCGCTGGGTTTAGGAACGGCAAATATGTCCGCGGGCGGCGTGTTTACCGAAAATAAACCGCAATTCCACGCTTTCGCTGAAAACATTTTCAGTACGAACTCCCTGTGTGAAGATTACGCTAGCACGCTGCCGCCACAGCAGCAAGCGGCAGCAAACGGCACGCGTGTGTACGTCTTCACACGGGGAGTTCGTACTGAAAATGTTTTCAGCGAAAGCGTGGGATTGCGGTTTATTTTTGGTAAACACCCCGCCTGCGGACATATTTGCCATTCCTAAACCCAGCGCAGGTACAATTCTGGACACAAGGAATATGTAAGCCAAATTTCAGCTTCCTCCGTCAGGTAAAAATATGAAAAAAATGTGTTATAATTTGTTTCGCTATGGTGGTCCAATTTATACCCTGGACGTCTGTCGTAATGTAATAAAGACGTCGTCCAACCTGGGCTAGGCCGCGATATTGCTGCGCTGTACCTCTGGACACATGCCAGGTTCCCCAAACTACTGAGGAGTTTGTCCGAAAAATTCTTTTACATACGGTTGTATTCTATGTCTATGATGTCTCGGCTTCTTTCCTCCGGGTTGTTAAATTGTCCTTATAGATAATTAACTTATATTTGGCCTATAATTTTATATCAAATTTTTCGAGAAATTTAGGCCTCTTTCTGGAGCCCATAATGCACACGAAAATCGTTTGTTGATAGCAGCCATTTTGAATGTAAGAAGCGATGACATCGCGTATTCGCGTTTATGCAAATTGATCTTGTCTCTCTGGCGCGCGAGTCGTAAAACAACGACTGTTTCTTGTACAAATCTCCCAACTGATAGTCTGATACTTGGTGATAGTATAATAGTGCGCACCATACAGTCTGGGCGAATCCATTGTACAGCCATTGCACGGCCAGAGGCATTCGGGCTATAGAGTCACTAACTGGGGCACTAGAACTCCTGGATTTGGTCTGTCGTACTAGCGCCCTAGTCCAAGTAACTTTGACCCTACTTATCGCCTTAGTTTTGTAACATTCGGACATGGTCTGGTTACAGTAGAATCAACGATAACTCGACTTAGAAGGAGGTTTACATGTTTTTTGCCGATGTGTTAAATTCCCGCTCAAATTACAAGCAAAAACTCACGTATTACACAAGCTTGAGAAACTCCAGCTCCAATGCCCATCGGGAATTCGACATGTAGAGCTGGAGGTCAATCTACTTTGTAGCCAGCGGTCTAAAAATGGCAGAGGCCGTGGAATTCGGCCTCAACACCGTACAGCCCACAAAATCATCATTTATTTCTGCATATTTTAGTCAGTTTTGTTCTGTTTTAAGCCGATCCTTTGCTTTGTGATTCACACTGTGAAAGACAAAGACGAACTATCCGGGCTTCAATACGTGGTGGGGACGGGCTGACGTCATCCCATGAAAATATCTATTTATTTGCATATCAGTTTTCATCGGTTGCTATGTGTTACCATTCAGCACTCCAGACTCAAGAATCATTGAGCTTCAAGAAAATAAGTCTTGGAGCTAGATAAGCAATGTAAAAAAAAAACCAGATGTCCACGCCCACCTATGGTACTTAATGAGATTTGTTCTTATTTTATTTCCTTAGTTCTTGAGGGACCACAAGATGCTTGGTGCTCTGAAACATGTTGTGAAAACCTGCAACAAGGAGCAGTTTGTCAAAGCCTACAAAGAATTGTTTGAAAAGAAGGTAATAAACCCCAATAAATATCTTCAATAAATAGCAGTAAATTTGAGGAATTTAATGAAAAAATGTCAAGAGAGAGAGAGCATGTAATGCAAAATAAACCAACCAACCAACCAACAAACAAACAAACACCCCAACAGCCCAACAAATACAAAACAAAACAAAACAAACAAACAAAAACAAACAAACAAACAAACACCCCAACAAACAAACAAACAAACAAAAACACTAAGCCACCTGTCTAGTTCACAAAAAGCACTAGACCAGCTCTTCAACCCTCCTGCTATTTAAGCAGTCACAGACAGTCAAAATTCACTTCCACTTCCCCTGCTATACTTTTAACAAAACTTAGTCACCAGCAGTCAGGTCATAATGTCAAGCAAGCACTGTGACTAGTCAAACTGGGTCAACAGACAAAGCAGGCAAGTTGTGGTCACAGCTGTTTTATCACTCACCCGAAGTCAAAGCATAGCTGTATCAAATTACTTAAACAGTCCAAGGCAGTCAATCCTGCTTTATGTGGGCTGGGAACTCTTAAGGGTTGAAAACAGTCGCTTGATTGATTTTGACTGCAAGGACAACTTGGCACATATGTTTACTTAGAAGGGTTAATGACTGAACTCACAGTCCTGTGCAAATTTGGTGTCTAGTTGTTCTTCAATAATTTATTATTGTAAACAAAAATTATCTTGATTGTTTTGTCTACTAGGCCTTCAAGGGACCACACGATGATGAAGAAGAGCTAGAGGAAGTCACCAAGAAGACAGCTGAGGTCAAGGTCAAGCCAAAGGTCAAAGAAGAGAAGGTAATTTACTAGACTGTAGGGGAAGTAGCTCAAAACATATTCACTACATTTTATTGAATTCATTACCTCAATTCTAACTCGAACAAGACTAACAATAAATAGGGTTGTGGTGTCCAGCATGCACCTCTCCAGTTTGCACTCATTTTTGTTTTACTATACTCCCGAGGACAATGCTTTGTGTTTCCCTTTGTTCCAGTAATATAAAATAACACTCTCCCATAGACTAAGCACATGAACCTACTACAGAGGACCGTTTCCAACAAAAGACCCAACTCCCGAGGACTGAAAGGATCTGTTGTTCTCCCTTTGTGTGTCAGTCCTCGGGGGGTTATGTAGAACATGTACACATATTCAAGCCAGTATACCATATATACTCCCAAGAGATACTGCAGTGTTTCCTAAGGGGTTTGAGAGGGTGTCCCGAAAATGTTTACTCTGAAGCAAACTCTGTAATGTATAGAAACCCAAAGTTTAGGATTTAATTATTTAACCCTAACTCCCTAGTAAAAATTTTGTGAGAAACCATCCTCAATCCTCCTGAACCCAAATGACACGTCTATTGTATTTAAACTTTCATAGACCATCAAGTCCAATGTTATTTACTAACTTCACTCAATCCAAGAAAATCTTCCAAAACCTCTTTGGAAGAATAGATTTTGAAGGAAATGGGGAGGGCAGGGGTAAAAAAATGCAATTGCAATTTGTTCTGTTTAGGTTCCCAAAAATGGGATCAAACGTGCTTACACTTTAACCCTAACTCCCCAGCCTAATTTACTAGAAACCATACCCATTCAGGCAAATTCCAACACCCACATGGAAAATTGTACACACACACTGTTGGACTTAGTTTCTGGAGGTATGCCAAGCCCAATGTAAAAGACCATCAGTTTAGGGGTACTGTACCTATCCCAACAGATTTAAACAAAACCTGCTGTTGGGCTTTGATGTGTTTAGTTCGGTTAGGGTTAATGAACACTTTGGAATTAGCAAGTGCAGTGAAAACTCGTTATCGTTTTTGGGGTGTCTTGAACACAAAAGGTTGCTGAGGTGCCCCACTTCCATAAGAAGATACTGAAGCATGGAGACAGGACGACCTACCCTAAGAAGGGGGATTATGCTTCTGTGTGGTACATTGGCAAACTGACTGACAATACCGTGTTTGATACCAACACAGCATCAGGTAAGAAAAACAGTGAATTTATGCAAATGGATATTAAAAACATGGATTATAAAAAATACGGGGAAAAAATTGGTTCACTTCACATTTCCCTCAAATAGTTTGGTTTTGTATAAGCAAGGGAAAGTTTTAACATTCAAGTCTCCCATAGTCCAAAATACAGGGTGGTGCAACAAGAAGGAAACCCACTTTTGACAGCAATTTTCACCTACTTGTTGAGCATATTTTCAAAATTGAATTTAATGGTATTAAAATATTGATCGTTTAACATAAGTGACAAAAAAATGATTGCAAAAGCTTATTTTGTCTCTGAAATGTGGTAGTTTAAAAGTTCATGTGCCAAACCCGTTTGTCCACAGACAGCTTTATTCCATTTGCTTGACTGAGCTCCGGAGTTTGAATTGAAGACAAAAAACACTACGTTAGACTTACACGTAGACAACAGTGATTTTGGTGACTTGTGTTCAAATTAGCATAATAACACTTATTCTTGTGTATATTTTTAAAAAGATTTTCTCACCATGTATGGTTGAAGATCTATACTTCATCACATTCTAAAAAAAAAAAAAAATCAAATAAGTTCAGTGAGTAGGTTAAAATTCCTGTCAAAGGTGGGTTTCTTTCTTCCTGCACCACCCTGTATATGCCAAATTTGAGCTTACTTTGTGCTTATTGTAATACAGCAATCAAGGCAAAATGCTAGCTTTACAACATGTAACCGGGTTTTTTTTGGCAAAGAAAATGCCACATTTTGCTCTGTTACCTTCGAGTTGTTTACAGTAGCTGGATGCATGGGCGTGAAATCCTCAACATAGTAAGGAACTGAATGCCACATTATTATTTAAGTCAAACACATACATGTACTGTGATTTCTAACATTTATTTGTTTTCAAAGGCAAGAAGAAGAAGGATAATACTCCGCTGAAGTTCAAGGTTGGAACCGGCCAAGTTATACGAGGGGTAATTCAGCTAGTTCAGTTTTCCTTGTCCAGGTGTATTTATCTCTCCTGTTATGAACTCTAAGGGGTACAAAAGTGTGACATGGGATTGGGAAATGAAGCAGGATAATAATATCCAGTTCTTTTTCCTCTTTTTCCCCTTGTACGTTCCAATCCAACCCCATTGTTAAGGATTGTGCTCACCAAGAATTTACACATGTAAGACTTTCCAGGCAGATTTCATAAGATATACATGCTCAGAATGTTACATACGTTACATGGACAGAAAGTTTGTTAATATTGATAGAAAGTTATAATTACAATAATGAATTCATCCAAATATTTTACCTTTTTTAATCCCTACAGTAGGACAATCTACTGTATAAGACATCATAGGGTATTATGTTCAGAATATTAAGTGCATAACTTGGACAGAAATGTTGTCACAAAATTTCTGTCCAAGTTATGAACGTTATATAAAATGTCTTCAAGACCACGAAAATTGTCTTTATTTTGGCTGGTAGCAAATCCTTAATGAGATGACGTTTGGGTAAAGCCATGCACGTGATATATAATCATACACATATAGTTCCTTTTATCCCTTCTCTGTATTGAGCATTTCCACACTTTGTCCCCGTTTCTTTCTTAGTGGGACGAGGGGGTGCAGACGATGACCTTGCATGAGAAGGCAGAGCTTACCATCCAGCCAGACTGGGCCTATGGCAAGAAGGGAAAACCGGATGCAAAGTATCCTTTTGATCTGGTTCCATCAAGTTTGTTATGCTCAAATCGTCACCGACACCATGAACTGACACTCAGTTGCGCATGAGTGCCCGGCAGACTCACATACTTTACAGAACCGCACTACTTTGGTTTTCACGAACTGACACCCCGCACTGCATGCGGGCACTCTGTACATTTTCGTATTCATAAACTGTAACGGACCTTAATTTCACCAGTAAAAAGGTTTTTAATTAAATTTTTGTGTAAAGCCCGGTTCATAGTCTGCGCAAAGTGAAAGCGAATGCAAATTTGTGACATCATGGCAAGTATTCGCGCTGCAAATTCGTAAAAGTTGAACATATTTCAACACGGGCGAATTTTGCAGCGAACGTTTCATGACGTCAAATTCGCTTCGCATTCTCATTCGCATGAAGTATGAACCAGGCTTTAGCCCCCAAGTATTCGGATGAATTAAGTTCGTTTCAAACCCTTCAAAGCGTTTTTTTTTCCGAATTGTATTTTGCCATATGCTTGCGTTTCAGTTGTGAAATGAAAATTACTCTGTATCACGTCACTGTACGAAGTGCACACGCACACGCGGGTGTCAGTTCGTGAAACCAAAATGATTGATTACGCAGTTTTCACAAACTGACACCACACCACGCGTGACTGTCAGTTCGTGAAAAGGGTGACGAAATTGTGGACTTGGTAAACAAGTACAATCTCTATCACTCCGTTACACTCGGAGAGTTGGGGAGGGGGGACATGCATGCATTACCACCGTACACCTGGCAGGGATGTAGTCAAGTCCATCACAAGTCCTTGCAAGACTCTTTGTTGAATATCAAAAGACTATTTACTGTACACTGACTAAATACATAAACAGTCACCGAGTTGTGCTATAAATACACATTCGATGCGTCGCACTTACGACGTGTTTTGTGAAATGGATCGCAGGACGCGTCGCAGCTGCGACGCATCGTAGGGATACGACGCATCACAGCGCTGCGATGCATCGTAAGTTACGAAGAGTTTGATGAAATCGGGTGCTGGAGCGTAAATTTTACGTCATTAGGCCGTGCACAACGGCCAGTTCAAGATCAGCACACGGTCTGCCTCCACAAGCTTCACAGACTTAGTGTGAAAAGGCACGAGGTATTAGCCTGTTCAGACGTCACCCAGAGGCGAGTCGAGGCAATCTTGACGTTTTAACCCGTCAGCCGTGCCTGTGTATAAAAACAGCCAGTGCATGTTATCACGTCCTTCGATGCGAACAGGTTAAGCTGGTGTTAATGTCCTCCCATTGACTTCCATTCTACCTACCAAGCTCTCTATATTCCTTAACAAAGTTTGCTTCCCTGTAGGATTCCTTCCAACGCTACTCTGATCTTCGAGGTGGAGCTAGTCGGCATCGACTGAGCCAAGAGTGTATAATAACTCAAATCAATCCAACTCTAATTGCTGCCTTACTCATCCATTTATGCATGTTTGGAGGAGAGCATATAATCATTCTATTTCACATCAAGTGTAGCAGTGCCATAAATGATATAGAAACATTAGGCACACAATTTCCATGTGTGACCTTTTCAAGAGCCGATATTTTTGGACTTAATATGTGACCAACCCTTCTCTCTCACTAATGTAAATTTTTAAATTTCACTTGAAAATGTCTAAATTTCTTCCAGAACACAATATTGAAACCATACACTATTGCAAACCTTGATTCGCTGCTTACGTTCTTCGGTCTCTGTAAATGCATGACCATCTAAGCCACCTTCCCATCTGAAAATTATAGACATCGGAACCTCCGCCAGACCTGAGGTTTTTAAAAATGTCTGTGAACTAGTTGGCCATGGTTGGTATATTTCCTATAGACTGTTTGCACTGCAGCCATGTTTGATGTGTGTGGTTTTGTTCAACAGGGATCCGCATGAGTTGACCTCTTGCGCATTCATTGTTAAAGAGGTTGTGGAATGCTCGAAGACATTTCCGGCCTTTTTTTGGGTATATGTAGCCTAAGGTGTGATGAAATAAAAACGACCATTGTTTCTGTCATGAAATGAGTACAAAGGGTACTTTTGAGAGCTAATTTTCAGGTCCTGTTTCGACCCGAACGTGCAATTTGTGTAAAAGTCGTCGTTGCGGGCAGCAAACAAAACACAGTAAATCGTGACGTAATAAACAGGACTCGTTTATGCTACTCTGCATCGGGAGTCCTGTTTATTACGTCACGATTTACTGTGTTTTGTTTGCTGCCCGTAACGACGACTTTTACACAAATTGCACGTTCGCGTCGAAACAGGCATGACAGGACTTGAAAAACAGCTCTCAAAAGTACCTTTTGTACTCATTTTATGACAGAATCAATAGTCGTTTTTATTTCATCACACCTTAGGCTACATATACCCGAAAAATGACGGAAACATCTTCGAGCATTCCACAACCTCTTTAATGAATTAACATAACAAAACAGACCTCCAACATGGCTGCTGCATGCAATCCATCTACAACAATTGTTGTGAGCGATTCATAATTGGAAAGATACAAATTTACCATCTGTTTCAACAGTCTGTACAGTGAAAATTGGCAAGAACCTGGCTCAATTTCTTGGCCCTACTTACCGTTAGCGAAAATTCCATGTTTACGGTAAGCGTATTTCACTGGTTATCTAGGAACTTTGGCTTCTGCACATGCGTACATCCCGTAAGTAAGGATTCTGTGCTTACAGGGTTAGCACAGTATTTTTCGGCTAGAGGGGTTAGCACAAAATGGCGATCGTAAACACGGAATTCTGTTGTTAGCAGAGGAATGAAATTAGGCCCAGGTTGGTCCAAGTTAGTCTTACTGCACATGGGTGTGAACCACCTTCAGAACGAATTTTGTTAATGGCAATGTTACATGAAAGTCCCATTATACATGTACCAATCACAAGAGTTTATATTTTGTAATAACATATCATGAGGTTATTAACAATGCATTGTTGTATTATTTACTGACACTGCAATGAAGCAGGTTGTTAGAATGAGCGGGAATGTACCGGGCCGTTCCCTAAATTTCCTGGGTTGACAATAAGAAATTTGATGGGGCTTACCTGACTTACATTCAATTGTATTCTATTTTAATTCAACATTTGATTTCGTATAATATAAGACTATAATGTGTTATACTTCAAGAAAAATCATTTTATCACTTTTCATCTCTTGCCTTTTGCATTCACATTTGTTTCATTGTCCAGGGACAATCTTTTCTTTTGGGTTTAAAATCTTTGTGAGTATTGTTGTTGGTAACGATTTAGCAATTGTCTTAAAGGTAGAGTATATCATTTGCAGCAATCCAAAAAGGAACTGACGAAATTATTGTCGACAAGCTTACTTGGTTTGAAAAACCTCAGGTTTGAATGGGAAAGTGTCCCGGATGCTGATTTGGGATGCAATACAAAAACAAGACTCGGCAACTCTTGATTTGAAATCAAGATCCTAAAATATTGTTTTCTCAGAATACACAGCGTTCACTGAGCTAAAACTTCATCAGGTTAATTGTTAAGCACCCTTCTTTAGATTTTGAGCACTTATATTACTTCAAACTAAAAAAATGCACAAATGATAAATGAGCTACTCTACCTTTGATTGAGCCAGTGGAAGTCTGACAAATGGTCTAATTATTGTTAAAATTTGTGATTTGTTTGCTTAATAGCAATATCATGTGTTAGATCTTCTATGTTTTTTGGGGTTTTTTTTCAGCTTAACTTTTTCTTCGCTTCTTGAAAGAATTTGCATTTTTAAATTACATTTACCTTTTTGAAATTTTTGAAAGTATATCAGTAACATAAAGCAAACAATTTATGGTGTAAACTGGCATGGCCTTATACTTTATTTTTTAAAATCAGTTAAAGATGTATTCCCGTGCTATTTTCGAGTTTCACCTTGACAAATATATGTTTTTTTCCAATTGCTATTTTCCTAGCAATGTAGAAGTTATTCACTTTTGGATGAGGCATTGAACAAAGACAATCTGATGTTTAGTTCCGCCAAATAAAAAAAAAAAAAACATGTTTAGCATCCCCGCCCGCTTCCTTTTTTGAGGCTGCCTCCTTTTTTTTCCGAAAAAAATGATAAATTTTAAACAGTGCCATCATTTTGGCCTCTTTGTCTGTTGCATCTAGCCCATATAAAGCTGGTATGTCATTTCCTGAGTCCAAGTGGTGGCCATCTTGAAAATTAGCCCGGTCGGGCAGCCATTTTGGAGCGGGGAAAAAAGGGGCCTCCTCCTTCCTTTTTTTCAAAAAGGCAGGACGCTTAACATGTTTGTTTTTTTATTTGGCCTTACTGAAATATTTCGTGGAAAAATTCAAATCGTTGGCTGCATAACAATAATTGGGATCTCGCATGGCGGGTTCACTTATAAGTAAAATGAAAGTTCTTTTTCAGAGAGTTGCAGATGCCCCAATTCCCAATAAAGTACGATAGGTTCTTTGGTCCAAACAAAACGTATCATTGAAAATTTGTTTGGAGAAAAAAATGTATCTTTTGAAGAGCGTGGGGAATGCATCTTTAATCTAGTGTAGTTTAACTATTTTTCTTTTCATTTTAATTTCAAGTTTTACCACCGCTTTTTCCTAATGTTTCAAGTCAATCTGATTGATGAGTTGGGAGAAGAAATATCCCATGTTTTAGGGGTTTTTGATAATTTGTAGGAAATCATGGATTTTTAGAAATGTTTTGAAATGTTAACACTTTGAGCTGTTTGCTTTGAAAAGCAGTGATTTTTCTTATTAAAATGTTTTGCTGCCATTTGTAATGAACACAAATTGCTGTGTGTCATGTGTGTGTGATCTCTACGACCAACTTGAGTGAACTCTAAAAATGCCACGGGGTGACCTGTAACTTTTTGGCCTTTAACGATTTTTAAATTTAGTTGTTCACGAGTATTTCAAGGAAAACGTATGGAAATATGAAATTGAAAACAATTTAATAATATTTGTTTTTCAATATACTGAGAGAATTGAAAAATGATTTTGGAATCTATTTGCTGTCCGTATAAGTGCCTGCTCCCCCCCCCCCCCCCCCGGAGCTTTTATTATCATGATTATTGTCAGGAGTGAAGCTGAGTTATGGAGGACATGGAATTTCGGGCACATTCTGCCTCCATGGTCTGGGGAACATTTTGGTTGATAAGAACTATTCTAACCGCATTTTCAGCTGGTTGGATTTGGAAGTGCCGTGCATGAAAAAATTGTAGATGTACAATACATGATCGGAGCTGTTCCCCAAATGCAGTTTATTACACCGATAGAGGGCGCTACACGCATTATAGAGCACTTCATGATTGATGCAGATGCAGAGTGTAGGAATTATGGCAGACGACGAAGACGACTACATGTCTGATTCTTTCTTAGTGGAAACGTGAGTATTTAATATCACATTTGGTATCGATATAAATATGGATTGGTAATAGAGCATAGAAGGTATACAGCGTCGTTTGAATTTTGGGAAAGATTCCCATATCTGGCCATCACTTTTCAGTTCACCACCCTGTGCACAAACCCTACGGGACTGGTCTGAAAATTTCTAGGCCCAAGTGTTTTCTCAGTAAAAATTCAAAATTGGTCACCGCTAATTTTGACTTTTTAGTACATATTATCACTTTCTGATGGCTAATAGTATTAGCCATCAGAAAGTGATAATATGTACTAAAAAGTCAAAATTAGCGGTGACAAATTTTGAATTTTTACTGAGAAAACACTTGGGCCTAGAAATTTTCAGACCAGTATGCCAGTCCCGTAGGGTTTGTGCACAGGGTGGTGAAAAGTGATGGCCAGATATGGGAATCTTTCCATCATGACATTACTTAAAGGTCAGAAAAAATCCCATTTTTTTTTATATAACTGGACTCCCAACACTGCAAGAGCCAATCAGCCATCCACCTTTGTATAGAATTACATGGCACAATGTTAATTTTCAGTTGTTGCGCATTTGCGATGCATCGCGGTGATTGCCTTCTTTATTTTTGTGTTGCATTTTGTCTTCTCTGGTCATTTTACCCAAAAAATTCCTAAAAAAAAAAAATCAAACTCTTCCCTCTTATCTCTGTTCTTGAAAATCTGACAATGTGAAGTTGTGTTGGTTTTAAATATCGCTAACTAGTTGGGTGAGTCCAACATGTCCAATAACTTAGGGGGTTTTCATCCTCTTATTGAAATGTGGCCCGTAACTACACTATCCCCAAATTTGTAGACAAGTTATAATGAAAGTTGAAACAGAAAATTGAAATCTAATATAATAATGTTGCAAATGACACACTGTGAAACTAATGTGAGTGTGAAACTAATGGGTTTTTTTCAAAGTTATCTTTCATTAATTCTTGCAATAGGTGGAATGAACTTACAAAAGTACGATCTCAAATGAATGAATTGTCTTTCTGGAATGTCTCATATCTATTGGCAGTAAGACCACCACACCGGGCCTCGTGTGGGGCAAACACAACCACAAGAAACAGCAAGAGGCCAAGCACAAGGCGATCAATGAGCAGCACCGGGCCAAGTTCAAACCGGTCAAGGAACGCGAGCAGGAGAACCGACTGAAGGGCCTGGGCAGTGCCCTGTCCAGTCAAAACAAGGGCTTTGCTCTGCTGGAGAAGATGGGGTACAAGCAGGGCATGGGGATGGGCAAGAAAGGTGAGGAACATAGGGGGTTCTGTCAAAAATAGAATTTTAACTCCAATTTTGTCTTCGATTCTGGTATTTAAGTCATTCCAAGTGTTTAATGCCCAATCCAATTGGACCTAGTTGTTCTCTAAGATGTGGCCACTTATAAAAGGGGATTATAGATGTTCCTTATTATAAAATAAATTATTATCAAAATGTTACTTTGACTAAAGATCATGCAGGCATGACAGATACTAAACACCCCATGAAATTATTCCGTCTGGCTTATGCCAAAAATAAAAATTAGTCGGTCTCTGGTCAGCACGCACTTCGATTTTGATCATGCGCGTCAATTGTTCTTTTTTGTCAAATTTCCGTGTTAGCTACAACAGCGCCTTCTATTGCCACACCGCCTCAAATTTTTGTGGGCAGCTCAACCTCATACCTTGTTTTTAAAACATTTTGGAGGCAAAGTCCAAGTCATAAAAGTTGCCTTGGCTGTATATGTGAAGGAAAGCATTTAGGGTACCTAGGCAAACGAGGAGGGTACCTACATGCAGGCAAATGAGGGGCACCAAGGAATGGGGAAGGGCGCCAAGGCAAATGATGGAGGACACCAAGGTATATGAGGACATAAAAAAAAGCAAAATAGTACCCGACTTGTCTGTACAATCCAAGCTTGAAAAAAACCCAAACAAACCAAACAAACTAACAAAAAAAGCGCATTGCTGCATCAATTCCGGAACTTTGGTCTGACCAGACTGACTTTATATTTTTTTACCTTACTGTCATTTAGAAGAAATCATGTACGTGATTTCCAACAATCAGTCAATTGACTGAATTTTTTTTTAAAAAAGAGTGCTGTTGACAAAAATCATTGTGCATCCATTTTTACAGTTTTCCCCAAAAGTGTAATATCCACTGAACTGAAACTTGAACTGGTTAGGATTTGAACATTCTTCTTTGGATTCTGAGGGGTGTTATTATTGGAAAGAAACAAAATGCATGAACAGCAGATGATCAAGCAAAGTGGATCTGTATCGAGCATGTGCTCTCCAAATGCATGCAGACATCTCAAGCAATCATACTGTTGCATCAAGGCGTATTCATAAATACCTCAGACAGTTTAGCTATTCCTATTGGTCGAGAGCCCGTCACGTGGCTGGTCTTAAACGGATGATAAAGACATGGCTAGCTGGTCTTAAACACTTTTCCAGTGTCACAATAAAATGTGGACTCCTAAAAATCCAGTGCCTCTTACCGTTTCATTGGTTGAACGTTCACAATCCTCACGTAGGCATGCGCAACACTACCAGCGAGTCAGAATTTTATAGTTCTAAATTCAAAACGCAACGCCCCAGGTGCGTTCTGCGTGACATCGCGCAGAACATGCTACGCGCGCGTCAATCTCCATAAAAGGGTTGTTTACATCTTACTCGCCAGCTGAACATTCCATTATTTTGCTAGAGGGATGTTTCAAAAAGCATGAAGTGAACTTGTTGAACAAAATCGGGATTTTTTGAACGAATTATTTGATATTTTTTTACGGATAAGGTATTTATGAATGGGAATAAATATGTGCTCGGTCGGTATTTATCACTCTGTTTAATACCGCTTAGAGTCTGGGTGCTGATAATTACCCTCGCCTCCGGCTCGGGTAATTATCAGCACCCAGACTCTAAGCGGTATTAAACAGAGTGATAAAAACCTCTCGAGCACACATTTATTCCCTTAGTAAAGTCATATAGCACTTGTCAATCAAATGTGGCTGTCCTATGGGTGTCGCACCAATCCATTAAGCTCCGCCCCCTGATGCTTGGACCAATCACAGCTCACTCATTTATGTCCAACATGCGTGCAGAAATGTCCGACGTGTCCACTAGCATATAACAGCATCTTGAACATGCAGCTTCATATTAGAGAGGCCCACATGTTGTTGCTTAACATCAAGCACAGCTTGGGAAAAATGCTGGGGGGGGGGGGGAGCCGGACTCCCCCAGCCTTTGGCTGACTAACTGATAACCAATGGCAAGTGTGCTGCATTCGTAACTTTCAAAGTATGGCCTGTATGCTTTTTGGATGTAGAACCAACTCAATCTCATGTTTTTGTTTTTATCACACAACCCTTATGGAAACATTATACAAATCATTAAAACACTACATTTGAAATATGAAAGACTATGTGAAATATCAATTATATTTCAATAAAGATCAGTAACATTTTCTTGTGGAGATTAATGCCAAATTTTCACGGAATGTCCTTTACCTGGCTCAATTTTCATATCAGTTTCTTTCTTTTTCATTTGGACAGAAAGTGGACGATCGGAACCCATTCCTGTGGAAATCAAGACAGGTTGGTATACCCAAGAGGGCCCCCCCCCCCCCTCTTCAGCCACTGACTAATGTGATACTGGGGCCACAAATAATCAATTGAACGCTAATATTCCTGCATTCATTATCAAATGGCTTCATATCACCACCCCCCCCCCCCCACCCCCCGGTTTCCTGAAAGCTACATCTTCCCTTGAAAGTTAAAGTCGAAAGACGATGACATGGGTTTCATGTCAGGTGGTTGATTTTTGAAAATTCTGGAAAGCTCCCAGTAACAATGCCGGCGTGTTTGGTTCAAAGTCAAAACTTTCTTCATGATATACAGGGTTTGCCAATTTTCCCCCATTTTCATTCAAAACTGATGAATACAACAGAATGTTTCTGTTTATAGCGAATTCAGCTTCAGAAGCAAACAACAGACTAAAATCATACCATGATGCCTCAAAAAGAAAAATGTTAACAGCATTTGTCGATTCCAACAAGTGTGCAGTTTTGCACTGGTTTCGTAAATTCAGGGGCAAATTACTAGATGGAAGAGTTTGTTCAGTTTGTGGTCTTTTGTTTCATTCCACTTTTCTTTTTGAACTCCAAATGGTTAAAACCGAATGAGAATCATTTATGATACAAGAAAAGAATATTAGCCAACCACCTTGATGGCAATTGCATCGTAGCTACACAAATGACAAAAAAATCCTGGATACTTTTTTTTTGCATCATAAGGCAGAGGGGGTTTGGGACGGGAGACCGAGATCAAGGACCAGCAGGAGCGAAGACGGCTTCAGTATCAGCAGGCAGTGAAGCACCGGGCGGCCCGGGAGTTGGAATACCGACAGGACTTCATGCAGCGCATGAGTAATAAATTCAGCGACAAGGAGACGGAGAAAGACCTAGACAAGAGTCAGAAGGCCTGTGAGCATCTGGATCGATTACAGGTATGCCAGTCTCAGGCCGCGCCGGAAATGGGCTTCCAGGGCTACGGCTACCTCTATAGACCCATCCGTTAAGGCCCGCCCCATAGTATTACGACCAATCACAGCCGTGATTAGTGTCCGACTTGTGCACAGCTGGAAGATGCAGTGCAGCATGGAGATAGACGCATGTGTCGTTGCCCGCGTGCACAGTGGGCGGTGCCTAATGGTTAGGTCTATTGCCGGCATGTTCCCACGTAGTTGTTGTTGTTGAAGACGTAGGCAGTAGTTCTTGACAAGAGACTCAGATGTAACCAAAGTAATAATAATAATGTATATTTATAAAGCGCAAGTATCCACTAATATTGGTGCTCAAAGCACTACATCATTGTTTATCTTCAAGTAAACTTGAATCCTCGATCCTGATTGGTCGATCCATGGCAACAAGCCGTGCTACATATAACCATGTAGCACGGCCACAGTCCATACCGCACTCCGCGTGTTGCGCTATTCCAAGATGCGTGCGCCATTCCGTACAAACACACACGTGTATAGGATAAGCGCTGAAGTTTGTGTACAGTGGGCGTTTCATCTTTATTGTGCGTCAAGTTTGCTTGAAGATAAATTCGTTATCACGCTCGCGCTCGTGGAACACGGAAAATGTAGTGCGTCTGTGTCCCACATACCACTCGGCCTTCGGCCTCGTGGTATGTGGGACACAGACGCACTACATTATTGCGTGTTCCACTCGCGCTCGCGGGATAACTAATATACCCTGCTCATTGGGCCAGTGCAACTTTCCGAATACCATCTCAGCTCCCTGGGGAGTATACAGCTCAATGCTGCCATTTCGGCACAAAGCAGCTAAACTCAATCACAGTATTAAACCATCTCTGCCGTCACAGGTACACGTACCCATTTTTACTCCTGGGTGGGGAGAAGCAATGAGTGACAAAGTGCCTTGCCCAAGGGCACATGCACCATAACCCCAGGCTGAACTTGAACCCATAACCTGCAGAATTACCCGCAGACCACAAATTCAATGCTCCAGACCACAAGGCCACAGTACTCCACTCCTAAAGTGGGAGAAAGGGGTGGGTAATTGTCGTCAGACTGATATCCAGAAGGTGAAAGATCCACAAAAACAAAGCAGTTTGACTCAGCACAGTCATTTCTCAGCTGTTACATGCTCTTGGAATGCACTTGCAGTACAAAATAAGTTTTGACAAGTACGGTAAATGTCAGATGTAATTTCATACTCTGGATTAGTGGGGTGTGTGACTGTCCACAAAATTGCTGAGAAAACATGACAGGAACTAGAAAAGTTTCTCCAGGCTAGAAAACCTGTAAAGTAACTGGTGCTTGTGAAAGTTCCCCAAGCCAAGTATAGTTCCTCGTAGCTGCTGACTATCCAGCTATGATTGGTTCTTGTAATTGCAGGGGGTTGAGGAACCTGTTGAACCTTGGTACTGGCCCAAGCCACCTGCTGAGGTACTAGAGGAGGACGAAGAAGAAGAAGAAGAAGAAGAGGAGGAGGAAAAAGAAGAGCCAGGAAGTCAGATACCTGTAAGGATTCAAGATTATTCCCTTCGGCAGAATTCTAATTGATATTCCAATTTCTATTTCTTGCCAAGGTGGATCAGTTAAGCTGATTTGCTTGGTGAACATTATATTTCACCGTACTTGCAGGTGTGTTCATTAACCTAACAGTCCTAAATCCTCCAATTTTATTACAATTTTTTTTCACATGGGAGTTAACGTTGAGGGCCTTCAAATTTTACCAAAGATAAAAATGAAATAAACATCAGAGCCTCATCTGAACTAGGTGGGCTCAACTGAGAACATATCCGGGACGCTGATTTCGGGCGCAATTCAAAACAGGACTCGGCAACTTTTGAATTGAAATCGAGATCCTTAAATATTGTTCTCTCGGAATATACAGCATTCACTGAGCTAAAACGTCATCAGGTTAGTTGTTAAGCACCCATATTTAGATTTTGAGCACTTTTGTTCCTTCAAACGTAAAAAAAAATGCACAAATGATATACTCTACCTTTAACTGTGACAGACGTGTGATGTACTCGTTGTGGATTCAACCACAGCACTGTAAAGAAGCTCCAGGACCGATTTGCACGAAATGCCAAGGAAGGGTAACTTGTCTTAACTCGCAACTCGTTCTAGGATCAATTTCGCCAAACTTAAGACGCGTTCAACATGTCCTATAACTTCCTCAGCAATGCGGTTTAACTTAAGATCGGTCTGAGGGTCATCTTATCTCATCAATGCGTGCGTTACTTTGTATATCTTCTGGACACCAGATGAGTTTAGGACGTCTTAGGACGCATCTTAGCTAAGATTGATCTTAGAGCGGGGACTCATCTTAACTTAAGTCCTGAGATGAGCTTAAATACCAAGTGGCCTTTGAACCTCAACACAGTCTATTACTATAGCGTCTTGTTAGGCACCTTTTTTGGCAGTCAATATGATCCAGGATTTTTTCTTTGATTCTGTTAAACAGGCAGCTGAAAAACTCGCCCATTTGACAAGTTACCTCCGCAGACGACATAGATATTGTATATGGTGTGGAACATCATTTGATGGTAAGAATGGTCTTTTACTCGTTCCTAGTTTTTCGAAACATGTTGGTGATGTGTGACTGACTGCAATGGGCTGTTCACTTCCTCTTCCTAACCCTGCCAGACACAGTGCGTCAGGTGGAAAAGTCTGGTGCACTTTGATGCATTCAGCTACCAACACCAGAGCATGAATGGCCAGTGCTGAAACAATGAGAGCTAAGTCCCATTGAACAATGCCACAGTTGTATCCTGCTGCATTCAGGGCACCACAGACTCTGAGGCAGTTTGGCCTTGAGACTTTTCCCCTGATGGATCTTGCTGCACTGGGCAGGCTTGTCACTGAGACAAGTGTTGCATGTTGCTGCATTTGGCAGGGTTTCTAGCTAAAATACCTGTAGTGTTAGGGTTAATGTGTACTGGGGTACCACAGAACCACAAATAGTACCGTAAATAATCAGTTTCGTAGACCTAATGCATTGCACTTGCAGGTATCTCAGAGGGTTTTCTTCGTTATTTTAATGTATTAACAATGAGTGCACATAAGATGTTTTCTCATGCCTAGCCTAGAGATACAAAACCACTGTCGTCCAACTCCACCTAAAGCTCTATTCACACAAAACAAGATTACGTTGAAATTGGCATACAGCAGTCGGCTTTTTCCCCCACAATGCTCTTCGAAAATTGTCCACCATGTTGTAGGATTTAACCCAGATAAACTTGCTATCAAAGTTTGAAATCGGGAAAAAAGCCCCCAAGCTTAACTAGAATTTATATTTTTTTTTAAACTTTTATTGCTCCAGATAACAAAGATTTTGAAGACAACTGTCCGGGAGAAACAGCCGAAGACCACAGGTAGCAGAAAGAAGAGACTGCCTGGACATGTGAAAAGACTGTACATAATAATACCTTATGCATTGTGGATGTCTCAAAGGGTGCACTTTGTAATTTTAATTTGGTAACAATAAGACAAAGGCAGAAGTTTATGGCAACATCCAACCTATCTCAACTACAGTGGCGCAACGCAGAGCCCGCCTTGCTAGCCACTGTTACAGAGCCAAAGATCAAGTTGTCTCCGACCTCATCTGCTAGAGATCGCCTTGCCCCAACAGAGGGAGGAGACCCCTCAACTATGTTGACACTGTATGCAATGATGTGAGCCAGCACGTTGATGAAATCACCACGGCCATGGCAGACAAGAGAGTCTGGAAGAGTTTGGTTTCATCCATCTCGGCTGTGGCCGCCCAATGATAATGATGATGAACAATGAATGCACAAACGACGTACCCGTGTAGTGGGGCATCCAGGGTGGGGGGGGGGGGGCTTCTTGGTGATATCCCAACACAAGACCTCAAGGCACAAACTATTCAAATGAATTGCAGCAAAGGCATTCCTTTGTTATTTTTCGTGCCCTGTTACTTGTGGCTGGTTATATGAATGGTCTTGTGCTTGCTCTGCAATTGGTCTTGTGTCTGGTCTTGCGATGGTCTCGAGTACAGCACTACTTGTGCACACGTCAATGGAAATACCTCCGAAAGCTACCATTTCACGTAATGATAGGATAAAACCACTCGGCATGTGACTCGGGCGTACTTCATGCAATATTTGTTTTCATCCTTCTCAGTTATTACGACAATTATTAAGTATTAACTCTGCCAGTTTGACAGCAAAGACAATTAATTACCCTCTCTTTCGGTTTCCATCTGCAGTCAGATTAAACATTCATAGCGTCGTTTGTTCGTTGGTAAGGCGAATGATGGTCCTGAATCAAGGGCGGGCCTAGAGCTGAATGTCGGATGGGGGGGGGGGGGGGGGCACGTGACCAACTGGCCTGGGGCTTGACCACATGGGGCCCTGTATGCCCTTTCTTTCGTCATGTTATCAGTATTTCACCAATCCATTTATGGAAGGAAAGGGGATCAATAGCATCGATTAAATAATATATTCACTCCTCCGTTGTATTTATTTGATTTGTTTTGTTTTTCATCTTAAAATTAATGTGGCCTGACGTTGCGAACTTAGCAAGTTCTTCTTCAAAGGCTAAAACAGAACTGACGGAGGTACATACATTAACATGGGGGTGCACACAAACATGCAGGGCTGAAAGAAGAAACACAAAAGGAGGATTAGGTGTGAAAGGTGTGGAAAGATGCAGGGGAGGGTGGATGAGAGAACAAAGAAACAAAGGGAGAGGGCAAACCACAAGGGATCTAGTGTAAACAGGGGAGGGACCAGAAAGGGGAAGGATCAAAGGTCACAGGGAGTGGGAACGGACAAAAGAGTGTGAGAGTGAAGGGATGATGTGGGGGGGGGAACAGTATTGAGGTGGAAAGGGATGAAAGATGGGGGAAGATGGGTAAACACAAACAAGGAAGACCAGGTGGATTATCTGTAACAGAAGACAATGGAGGAAGAAAAGGATTAGTCATTTCCAAGTTGGATGTTGAGACCATGTGGTTGAATAGTTCGAAGACGATTCATCCACACTTTCTCTCTGCTGAGGCGAACAGAGTCCTTGCGATGGCCAAGAGATTCAATGCCCTGCAAAATCATATCAGAAATGGAGTGGTTAGGCAGGTTGAAGTGGTGACCAACAGGGGTGTCTAGTTTCTTGGTGTTGACCGTTGACCGGTGGGCATAGAAACGCTTCTTGAGCGTATTCTTAGTCTCACCTACATACTGCACTCCACAGACCCTGCAAGAAATGAGATATATGACATTAGAGGTGTTACAAGTGATGTTACCAATGGTTCTGTGGGTAGTGACAGAAGAGTGGCCAGAAAAGGAGTCAGACTCCTGGATATGAATCTGGCAGACAACACATCTGGAACTGCACTTGAAAGTACCATGCTGGGTGGGAGGGGATGCATCTAAGGAAGGGACTTCAGCTCGAACAATCAAGTCCCGTAGATTTCGAGGACGCCTGTAAGCCAATGTAGGGCCATTGGGGATGGCGCGGGCAAGGCGATCTGAAGTATGGAGGATATGATGATTGTCATTAGTGATTTTGTGAAGGGGAGGGAGATTGGGGTGAAACGTAGTAACCAAGGGAATCATGGGTCTTTCCCGTGAGAGCTAGATTTCTGGGGATAGCTTTAGCTCTGGCAATGGCACGATGAACTTGGCGAGAGCTGTGACCCCTGGCCACCAAGTTGTTCCTCAGTATCTGTGTATGGTGGGAGAAATCGGAATCATTAGAACAAATTCTTCTGAGTCTGAGTGCCTGGCTAAACGCTATGCCAGTTTTGCAGTGCCTGGGGTGACAGCTGGAGGAGTGGAGGTACTGGTGGGTGTCTGTGGGTTTGGAATACAGGTCAGTGGTTAGTGAGTTGCCTTGCTTGCGGACGGTGACATCCAGAAAGTGGGTTTGGTGAGCCGAGAACTCCGATGTGAATTTGATGGTTCTGTGGATGGAATTGATGTGGTTAGTGAAGGTCAAGAGACTCCTCATCACTGGTCCAGATGAAAAAAACATCATCAATATATCTCCACCAGATCCAAGGGCGACATGGGGCCGAGGCAAGAATGCGTTCTTCGAGGTCGCCCATGAAGAGGCAAGCCATCGACGGGGCCATGCGAGTGCCCATTGCAGTGCCGTGTACCTGTAGATAGTGTTTACCAAGGAAGGAAAAATTGTTCTTCGTTAGTATAAGTCTCATGAGGGTGCCAACATCACTGATGGGAGGAGTCGTGTGTCCTGCCTTGGCCAGAGCCAAGGAGCAAGCACGAACACCCTCCTCATGTGGGATGTTGTTTTGTTTTTGTTAGAAACTACTTGGTTGGGAGAGGCATGGCCCAGGGCGCCCTCGCCCCCCCCCCTCCCCGATCCACCTTTGTCCAGGATCATGATTAATTAAAAAGAAACCTGATTAGTCTGTATTCAAATCCTGAGCAAAATTGTTAGAAATGGCAGATAATTATTTGGTCTATGGCCGCTTGTGCATACATTCGGATCTTTATTTTCATCCATGTTTGATGCAAACACGGCCTATGATTGTAAGAACTACTTTTGTGTACCTTTTGTTCCCCGATAGTTCGCAAGGTACCCTTAACAGTGTGCTAACAAAATCAGCTAGTTTTAAGTATAATTCCAGTCTTGAAGGCTGTGATAGATCTTACAAATTCTGCTATTAAACCAAGAAATGTTCTAACTGTGTTCCCCCATTGTGTGATTACAGAGCTAAAAACAAATTTACTAATTCCTAGAAGCGAGCAAACTTTGGTTACAAAATGTATGCACGCACACACAAATTCTATGCCCACCCGTGAAACAAACCAACCGTTACCATGGTATTTTCTTCTTCTTTTTTATTTTACGCTAAACAGTCTCATTAGATGGGCCTTCATGACTTGTGTTAAGATTTGGGCAAGCTCTGATTGGACGGTGTTTGGCAGTGCCACGCGTCGAGGTGTGTGACGATTGGTCAGTTGGCAAGGCTGTCATGCGCGCGCATGAAAATTCGGGTGAAAGCACTTCTAGTAATACGTCATGCTAAGGTTGATTGGAAACCGTGTGTTGTCGCAGTACCATAGTACACTCGTTACATTGAGCAGGTGCGTGAACGAAAGACTTGGCGTTCTATGCTCCGACGTACCGACAGTTTAGTTGGGGTCCTCAGTTTTTACGTTGAAAAAAAAACATCCCGGCCGATTTCTATTTTGATTTTGTTCGCTTATATATCGTATACATGTTGACTACCTGAACTGGTATCTAATTCAGCATTATGGACTTAATAAACCTTTTGTGAAGATGTCATCAACTCCACGACGCCTCTCTTTTCTTGTACTATCTACCTGTCTGTTGGTCGTTGGTACCCACACCAGTTGCGGTCCATGCCCGTTCCAGTGGATGTCATTTGGGGACCACTGCTACCGGTTGGTTCTTGAATTTCGTCCTTGGGCGGATGCTGAGAACTACTGTCAGCAGTTGCCATCCCGTCGATTCGGGCATGCGCACCTTGTCACGATCAACAGTGAAGCGGAGCAGCAGTTCTTGGCTAAGTATGGTGAAGAGATCCAGCAAGTTAAGCGTTGGTGGATGGGACTGAACGATATTGAACATGAGGGAGTGTACGTCTGGAGTGAATCTTCACAGAGCCCTGGGTATACTAAGTGGTATTCAAGCGAACCAAATTCAGGCATCAGCAGCTACGATTGTGTTTTCAGTCAGCGGTCTTTAGGGTGGGGATGGCGCACCCGTGCTTGCACTGCTCATGGGTACTTTATCTGCGAACTTGAGAAACCGTAAATAAAGCAGTGCGATCGACTCATTTAAAATCAAGACTTTCTGGAGGTGAGTTTCCACATATATTAAACACATCATTTAACCTTAAATAAAGGCTGTGAGACGGCTTTATGATAGACACTACACGCTGAAATTTTAAAAGCACTACATCAGATATTATCTTAAAAAGACGACCTAGTGGTGTAGGCCCTACATGTAGTTTACTCTACGTGAATTCACCGATGGCGGGAGCCCTATAGCACCAAATTATGTCTATTTCTGGATCACCTGAGCACTGTTCTTCTGCATGACTGACCGAAAACAGTATAATATCATCTTCTCAGTTCTTTTATTATGAGACATGCAGACATAATAAGCCCTCGACAGTACATCAAAGGCGCTAAACTTCTCCCTCCATCTAGAGCTAGAGCTAGTTATTGTGTAGGTTAAAGGGAAAATACAACATTTGCAAACATCGAAAAATAAAACTACCAAGTTTTTTAGGAAATACACAACAGGATGTTGATAAATGACAGTCTAAAGCATCCTGTAAAATTATGGCACCTGGTGTGAAGTCACTTTCAAGAAAATGGTAATTTTGTATACATTTCCAACGGTGGTCGGCCGACCACCGTTGGAAAAACCTAACTATTTTTCAACTACTGCTCCAAATGTACCAATTTTTTTTCAGTCCAAATTTTGTTTGCTATTGGTTGCATGTTCTGAATGGTGCAGGCCAGCTAGACTGGTTCCCTTATCGTACAATTTTCCGGCATCTATAAATTAATCCATTTAATCTTCAGTGGAGTCAGGGAACCAGACTACTCGAACATTTTTGTTTTTATTAGTTTTTCCAGCATTTCCCAACACAAAACTTCAAACATGTCAGTGTAACAATAATTTGATATATTATACTAACCCCACAAATAGTTCATTTCTGAAAATTAAAGCAAAAGCCAATGATGTACATTCCCTTTAAGTTACGAACGTTCGACATCAGTTTTCATCCTAGCGAGAATTATGGTTAGTCGACAGAGTAGTTTGGTCGAGTATTCAGAACCAGCCTATCGCCTTTCAAGGTCGGTCGCCTCGCTGGTAACAATAGCCGCACGCATCATAACGCATAGCAGGGAGCCAGGAAAAAGAAGTGTGTACGTTTTGACCAACTTTTGACTAGAAACGTGCGCATGTTGATATAGTGCGCAGGTGTAAAAACGTCACCAACAAACGACTTTTCCTAAATCAAACTTGTTGAGGTAGGTTGAGGACTTTCTTACGCTTTCTTACGAGAGGCCCCACATGTGAGTGTTATCAGGGATGAGACGATTGTCACTTTTCACGTCTACCCCCCCCCCCCCCCCCCGCCCCTAATCAAAATGGCCTTGCTATGTTACGCGTGTACATATACATGTACAAGTAGAATGCATTATGATCGATTCGGCTGCCAAACAACCGTTACTCTGCTTTACGTTCAATCTTTGTTACCGGTTCTTTCATCACAACAGCCCCGTGAATAATTACTTTTATTGTCAGATCGAAGACCACATTTCAAAGCGATGAACAACAGGCATTCGCAAGTCATACAATGATGGACAGAACGAACGGGGGGGGGGGGGGGTTCGCATTCGTCTCTTTAATGATACTAAACTCGCTAGGTATTAACGCTTCTTTTAATTGATCTACATGTAGTCTTTTGAGCAAGCAGTAGTGTCGGCGCGGCGTCGGTAAGCTACTGACTCTT